ACGCCCCTTCTTGGAAATACAGTGTCATCTTGCAGGGTTTGCGACACGAGCTGGCCCGCCTCGTCTCCCCGATGGACACTGGCGACGCTCAAGCCACCGAGCCGAATGAGCTATCTCATCCAGTTTCCGAACGGAGCCCTCGTCCGACCGAACATAGAGCTGAGATGGGTCGCCGTGAGCAGCAGGCAGAAGGCACCGCGGTGAGGGATTATGACCCTGACCCTAATATGTTGCCGACCATATTCTCTGGACTGGACCCCGCTATTGATCCAGGGCTACTCGATCCCAGGACACAGTCCCTCTTGGACACTTTCATCATGGGCGAAAACGTGGTGCTTGATTTCTGGCCACAGCTAGAAAGCCTGCCTATCTGTAAGCATTCTTCTCGTAGTCGACAAGAACGCCTAGTAGGTGCTAATTAACCCAGCATACCCCGGCTGATGCGGAATTCGAATGTGACTGGGACGCGAGGACCTCAATTAGTAGATCTATTCACATATTTACTGGTAATCCGACCGGATTGTTGCTCTTGCACCATATATCCAGGTAGGGTGTCTACGACAGAGCTACAGCAGGACCGGCTTGCCCAGTCAGTAATCTTGGGAAGTCTCGCAAGTTGGTAAGTTTCCATTTATTCCACCCCGGCACTCAGCACCTGCTCAGCGCCCAATTACCAGATATACTTATAACGAATCTGCCCGTCCTCCTCCTCTGCCTTTTGTGCCTTCACATTGAGCGTATGGAGATACAATGCCAACAACCCAGTCAAGACGATTCCGGCAGCAGCAAACGCTGAAAGGGTGATACCACCAGGCCGGTACTGTGGCGAGTCGGATGTGGGAAAGAAGTACGAGCCGTATATATTGGACGAGTTACCGAAGAGGTTTACCAACGCGTACACAATGGCCCGCTTGGTGCGTGTCCGCGGGATCGTACTGGCAATCCAGGCTTGAACGACGTTGAAAGCGGAATATGAACCAGCGCACATTAAGAACATGCCGATGTACCTGACTGCAGTGGCTCGAGACGATATGACCATGACGTTTCCCACGATGTCTATGATTAGAGGCCACGCGATAAGAACTGCGCGCTGGCTCGTTCGGTTCGCAATGAAGGAATTACCAAGAGCGGTGATGAAGCCAAAGACGTACACCGGGGCCGTGATCAGCAGCGTGATGATGTTGCTAAATCCCAGTGTTTTGACGATGGTCTAATAGCACATGAGTCAGAACCAAAGTAGCGGAAAACATGATAATTGGTACTCACAGGGAAGAAGTAGGTCCAGCTTTGAGATGTGAGCTGGCAAACCTGGATCAGGATCAACATCCACGCCTTGGGATCTAATAATGCATCCCGCAAGCCCTCGCGGATGGAACCATTCTCATCGACCTCATCATTTGCGGCGCGGGCAAGACGCCATTCGGAAAAGCGCTGCTCCTGTTCCGATAGCCACTTCCGCTGCCCGGAACGAGGAAAGTCTGGGAGAAGCGCGACAGCGAGAAGGCCGGCCACCATTGTGCCAGCTCCTTCAATGATAAATAGCCATCTGTTCGCGCACTGGTTAGCTATACAATCCCAGAGTATGCCAGGATATCACCCACCTCCAGCCTTCCAGCCCGCCTTTGCCGTTTAATCCACTCATGACGCCCGCGGCAAACATGCTGCCAAACCCGTTGGCGATGGTGTTACCACAATACACCACGGCTACTCGCACCGCAATTTCGGACGGTTTGTACCAGGAACTTATCAGCAACCTGACGGTATCGCTCGTTAGAGTTCGTTCACAGACAAGATCATTCGGATTTGATAGTAGGTACTTACAAAGCCCCGGGAAAGAAAGGTGACTCGGCGAACCCGAGGAATATGCGCACGCATATAATGCCAGCGTAACCATGTACCGCAGCCATGCAGATCGAAATTCCTCCCCAGATGAATATGGCTGCTGGGATGTAGCGGGAGGGTTTCAAACGGGTCAACAGAATGTTACTCGGCACCTGGCCTACCAGGTAGCCGACAAACTGTGCACCAACATCGATCAGCACTGTTTCAGGTCTCAGGATAGGGCACTTTGCATACCATGATGGCTACCGCAGTTTGATATTGTGTGTCAGAAAGGCCCAGGTCTTCCTGTAGCCCTCCCAGACGGGCATTGGCGATGTTGGACCGGTCCAGGATATTGAAAATAAATAGTAGGAACAGCGAAGAAATCAGATGCAGATCGATCTTGCGCACCACTGCCGGCAGTCAGCATCACACGATTGCCCCAGTAGTATGGAACCACTGTGTAGTCTTACGGCGCTTTTCCAGGGCCCGTTCTTCCTCCGGAGTCAACCCCTCGAACGATTCATCCACCAAGTCCAATGGCTTCCCAGTGGACTCGACATGGCGAGATGATGCTTTGTTGTCAATCTCCGCCATGCTGTCAGATGATGTTGGTATGTACTGCCGGGGCTACAACAGCCGATATCGGAACAGTATCAAGGGCCAAGGCCACAAGGGGTGGCTAAGAACGAAGTTTGATTTGGGGGTAAAGATGGGCAGATTTCTACAAGAAGAAGACGAGAAGGAAAGAGGATTCAACGTCCTTCGAACATCAGAACATCATTGGTTTTATAATGCTCCCCGGCTGCATGTCGGGTTGCTGTACCCCAGATGCCATGACACTATCTCCCATCTGTCAGTGCGGGGTCCCCACGAGCGGGAAAGGAGCGGATATCCCCCAGTCTGGGGTTGGGGACTGGCACTGGCCAGACCGGACTTGTTCCGGGTTTCTCGTATTGGCATCAGCATCAGACCAGCGCTGGATCCACCCCGGAATTGTGTGGGTTGCCTGTCAACTTCCCCAGATCTGTTTCATATGCTTCGATCATGCTTAAACACTGTGCCGGTGCTTAGACAGATGATGTCCAGAATGTATCAGCTTTTGCATCTCCATCTCATCATCTCTCCATCCAGCACAGCACTTTATATGCATCCAAGTACCAGAGCTTTTTATCAATGGCCCAGTCGGACATTGTACTGTTGTATCATTGTAAACTCGGGCTGTTCATTTTCGCGCATCCGTTTTCACCCTAGCGGTCGCTAACCTAACTCGACTCGCCACCCGACTCGACGGCCACATGGAATCCAAAACTCTCCATGATATTGACACTGCTCGATCTCCATGTCTTTCCGACATTTCCGATATATATCCGCTTCCCGAAGCTGCGAGATCACCTTGGGGACATAAAACCCTTTCCCGACAAAGTCAGGTGGAGGGTACGTTTCTATGTCAGTAGCCTATCCCATACCCTCCACTTATGTCATGTGTGAGGACATTATTGACAAAGTTAAGTTTTAAGTATCATGACCCAAATCACTCACTCCATAATAGAGCTTGGGTTGATCTAGCGTCGTATAGCATGGTACCGTTTTCAAACCTCTAGTTGTGGGTAAGGTTTTGCAGATTCCCATGTAGAACAACATGCAGGTATAATCATCTTTACAAATTTGAATTTGAATATCTCCTAGTGGGATATTCTGTCTACTGGAGGCCATTCAACGTACCGTTGCTTGATTCGTCAGCTTCCAGGGCTGTCTTCCCCAACAATTCTTCATGCCCATCTACTTCCAACCTCCCGTCCCTGTGTGACATCGTGCAGGGCTACCATGAAAACCTGGGTGACGAGTAGTCTAGGTTGCAGTGTATTACGCCAGGCCAGCTGGCCACATATACATCTTTCAGCACTACAAAATGGCAACTCCATTGGGCGGGCTAGCCACTCCTCCGGGAACCTAGTCGAGGAGGCGGATTATCAATAAATTGGGAAACAACGGATCACAGTCGGCAGTATAACTCACCTTTAATGGAACGCTGGTGAAGAAAAATGACCAGCGCTGCCTCTTTCGACACTCCTCGCTCAGCTGCTCTAAATCGAACATTTCCCCGATCGGAAGTCCCCAACCGGCCAGCAGCCACTCATGTAGCCAGTACTTGAAGTCCTGGCACGGCCAGGCCTCGAAGCTCGGGGTGTCACTAGCGACAGCAGCGAATTCCTTCTCCCTGAGCCACCGGAGTGTGGCCTCTGACGACTCGATCCCGATCGCTGGGGGCGTGGAGATGATGGCCATCGCAGGGATTTCATCTTGAGATAGTTGGGCATAACCCCGTCCCCAGCCTGCCCGGATGAACAAGATATCACCCGGCTTCAACTCTGTGCCCTGGGCCTGGGCCACTTCCTCCAGGACGGCGACTGTGATTGACTGGCTTGTGAAAGGCTTCACAGGGACATGGTTTGCCTCCGCCCAAGCGACATAATCTAACAAGACTCCCCGTCCGATGATGCCTCCAGTTTCCACCCAAGCTGCAAGAACAATTAGAACAAACTCATCTAGGATGACGATCTTCCCGCTGTAATACGCACCATGAATACCGTTAACTTTGGTGGTTAGGATGTCGTCAAGGGTACGGCCGTTAAAGTATAGTCGCTGTTCCTGGTAGCCAAAATGCCGTAGGCCGTCCCACTGCGAGCTGGACTGGGTGTTGAAATGCAGGATGTCATCGTTGACAGATGTGGGGGCGATATTTGAGATGGTCTGGGCAAATGGGACCCGATTGAATGCGGGCGTGGTGATACGATCCAGTGGCCAGTCGGTGGAAATGCGAATTCCATCGCGGATTTCGCTGGCGGCGGCACGCGTTCGATCGGGGGTGAGAAGATTCAACATACCACACTGGTCGTCGGGTCCAAATAATCCCCATGCATTGCCGGGCGGACCCGACTTGTCCAGCGGCAAGTCATCGAAGGCGGGCTTCTTGCTGAACGGCATTGCGTTGCGGCTATTCTTTCGCCTAGGAGAGAGTTTGGCGGGGTAGTAAATGAAGAGTGGATCATGGGAATGGAGTCAAATTGTCATCTTGTTGGCCCTAGTGATCATCTTCTCCGAAGTCTTGATTTATCCGCCGTTTGGCTGTCGGATTTCCGACCCACTTGTGTTGTGCTGCTTGACTATATGAATCACCAGCACCATCCTAGGTCAATTTCTGTCTCTCTGTTAAAGACATAGAGAAATAGAAGTGGTGCCTAATATGTCCCTACCCTCGCACTTTACCCTCAACTCCGGCGCCAAAATCCCTGCCGTGGGATTTGGTACCTGGCAAGCCAAGCCCCTTGAGGTGGAAAACGCCGTCGAAGTGGCCCTCAAGGAGGGTTACCGCCACATTGATTGCGCCGCCATCTATCGCAACGAGACCGAAGTCGGCAATGGCATTCGCAAGTCCGGGGTGTCCCGTGAAGAGATCTTCGTTACTGGCAAGCTGTGGAACACCAAGCACGCCCCGGAGGACGTGGAGCCAGCCCTCGACAAGACCCTGCAAGATCTAGGCCTCGATTACTTGGATCTCTATCTCATGCACTGGCCCTGGTAAGTGACTGTCTACTTGATCGTCCAGGATCGTCCGGTGGAGACTAAGCATTAACCCCTTATACAGCGCCTTCAAGGGTGGCGACAAATGGTTTCCCCTCAACGACGATGGAGTGTTCGACTTGGCCGCCATTGACTACATCACCACCTACCGCGCCATGGAGAAATTGCTAGCGACGGGCAAGGTACGCGCCATTGGCGTGTCCAATTTCAATATCCGTCGTTTGGAGGAGCTGCTTGGCCAAGTCTCCGTCGTGCCCGCCGTCAACCAGATCGAAGCCCATCCGTACTTGCAACAGCCGGACCTGCTGCAATACTGCCAGAGCAAAGGTATTCTCATCGAAGCCTACTCTCCGCTGGGCAACAACCAGACTGGGGAGCCACGCACAGTTGACGACCCGTTGGTGCACCGCGTGGCGGGCGATCTTGGCTTGGACCGCGGACCACTGCTGGCCAGCTGGGGCGTGCAGCGTGGCACCGTCGTGCTATCCAAGAGTGTCACCCCGGCTCGCATTGCAGCTAACTTGCGAGTCCGGGCGTTGCCGGAGGGGGCCTTTGCACAGTTGAACTCGCTGGAACGCCACAAACGCTTCAATTTTCCGGGCCATTGGGGATACGACATTTTTGAGGAGGTCGGTGAGGAGGCGGTACGCCAGACTGCGCTGGCTGCGGGTCCTAGTAACAAGGTTAAGTTTACTCTATAGCCGATCGCAATGTATTTTAGAACAATAGAATTGAGTGGTTTTGGCAAGTTTGAAAAGCCAGATGCAATCCGGCCACTCACGCGTCAGCACCTTAAACAGACGGCCAGATCTCTGGAAGTGGTTGGCCTAAGCGTGCCCATCTAAAGTGACTGGCTAACGGTGCCAACCCCAGGTTTTAGTCCTGCGTTGAATTGGACTGGTTGGCCGCTCAGGCGAATGATCCGGGGTTCAACTTCAGACGATCCATGGATCGTAAGTCAGACGAGGTCAAGGTAGCCGAGCGCCGGAACATCCTCCACCCCCCGACTTCGTTCCTATGTCGATCAGCACATGGCATATATCCTTCAGGGGGAATCGCTTTTCAGCATGTGCCTGGATAATGGTGTTGCTCCCCAGGGAAGATGGCCAATTACTCGGCCCCTGTTGAGGGCATCGCCGGGGGTTATACGGGCAACAGCCTGGCTGTTCAGGCGGTGTTAGCCAGCTTACTAGCATGTGCGCTGTACAGCTCCATCGAACTCATTATCCTGGTTTTTCTCACTTTTCACGTCTATGGGGGACTGTACTTCTGGAGTCTACTTGTTTCAACCGGGCTCGGCATCATCCCGCAAGCGATCGGACTGCTGCTGAAGTACTTCCAGCTGGCGCCGCTATGGATTCCAGTAACTCTATCAACATTCGGCTGGGCTGTTATGGTGACAGGACAGTCTGTGGTGCTATATTCGCGACTTCATCTCATCTTGTCGAATCAAAAGATCCTCCGCTTCGTCCTCTACATGATCATCATCGACGCCATCATCCTGCAGATTCCGCAGATCACCCTGTCCTATGGTGCCGTCTACGGCGGGGCGCGATTCGCATATGTCTATAACATTTGGGCCAAGGTGCAGCTCACGGGGTTCTTCGTACAGGAGGTGATCATCTCGACGATCTTCATCGTGCAGACGTTTCGGCTGCTCTATCTCTACCCGCATCGGAGCAAGCGGAGGACCAATATCATGGAGCAGCTACTGGCTATCAACACGGCGATTATCTTGATGGATATCTCGCTGTTAACACTAGAATATCTGGACTTGTTTATCTTGCAGACCTCGTTGAAGACCTTCTTCTATACCGTCAAGTTGAAGCTGGAGTTTGCGGTGTTGTCGCGGCTAGTTTCGTTTGTACATTATGATCCGGAGCTAGAATCTTCGACGTTTACTGGCAGTAATTAGAGAACAAATTTTCTCATTACATGGGTGTCTACTGGTGTGACCGTTATTACTGAGCCTTCTACCTTGGCGTTGGTTATTGCTAGTAGGAATGACTCGAGTCACAGCCGGTGATGTAACTGTCACATGGAGTCTGTAGGTACCCTTCCATTAAAATGGGCATTTCCGCCAAACATAATCCGATGCATCGCATAATCGATGAAGAAAGCGTATCTATAGCGCAAATGATAAGAAGAGCAGGGCTTCCGGTGCCTCTAATTCTTTCCTTCCCCGCACGAGGCTTTTCCGCCGGTGGAGAAAACCATGGCGGAAAAGGGCGGGGATGCAGGCGGAAATGCGGCATGGAGGGCATCTGCATCATCTCCAGTCCATCTTCCAATGAGAAATCGAGTCAATACCCGTAGACTAATCCGTAGATGCGGAGTCCAGACACACGAGCAGGTTGCGATAAGACTTGCCTGTGAATGGCATTTCATAAACTTCAAGAAATCCCCCATGCCACTTGGGATTCTCAACATCCATCATCTCACTCTTCCTCCCTCTCCTACGCCACTGTGTGTTCAAGATGGCATCCGTGGCAGTCTCTCCCATTCCTTCGTCGCTCTCCTCCCCAAATAGACTGAGTGCTTCGTCACCCGCAACGTCGGTAGATGAGATTGAAGCGGAACCTGCGGAGGAAACCATTCACACAATCAACCACCTCATACAGGCTCGAGCCAAAGGGCTTCATGGAAACGAGCCTATTGTCGCTTACCCATCGTCGGGTACCGAGTACACATACTACACTCCCAAGCAGGTGAACATGCATTCGCATCTACTTTTGGAGTCACAAGGGATACTGACTACTTCTGCCACCAGTTGAACACCTTCGTCGAAGCCGCGTCGGCCCACTATGCAAAGGTCATCCCACAGCGACGGTCTTCAGACGATCCTGTACAGGTTGTAGGATTGCTGGGTCCCTCCGACTTTGAGTACATGATCACATTGCTGGCTATTTCCCGTCTCGGTCACACAGTCCTCTTGCTATCGACGCGCATTGCCGAAGATGCCTATGTCAGTCTGATCGAAAGCACCAAGACTGCCTTCCTCATCACATATCCCAGCTTCCAGGCGGTTGGGGAGAGGGTGGCTTCGCGGACGGCCATCGTACAGCAGCCGGTATTGACGAGTGAGAACTACAATTTCCCCGGCGCAGACACCGTATCCTTGTCGCCAGCGCAGTTGGATGGCAGCATAGAGGCAAAACATATCTGCTGGATCATCCACTCAAGTGGCTCCACTGGTCATCCGAAGCCCATCTATCAGACGCACTCCGGAGCCTTGAAGAACTACGCCAACAACTTCGGCCTCCGGGGATTCATTACCCTGCCGCTATTTCACGCGCACGGTATCAGCTGTCTCTTCCGAGCCATACACTCGCAGAAATTGATCTACCTCTACAATGCGAATCTGCCGCTGACAGCCCCACATCTACTGGCAACTCTCAAGGACCACCAAGAAATCGAGATCCTGTATGCAGTACCTTATGCACTGAAGCTATTGTCCGAATCCGACGAGGGCCTTCACATGATGGCCCATTTGGAGCTGGTCATGTTTGGGGGCTCGTCGTGTCCGAAGCCCATTGGAGATAAGCTGGTGCAAAACGGAGTGCGTCTGGTTTCCCACTACGGGACCACCGAGACCGGTCAACTGATGACTTCTTTCCGCGAGAGGGATGATCTGGACTGGGACTATGTTCGCCCGGGCCCATCTCTGCTGCCCTACCTCCGCTGGGAGGAACAGATGTCTGGCATTTACGAACTGTGCATCTTGGAAGGCTGGCCCTCCAAGGTCGCCAGCAACCGGCCCGACAACTCATATGCAACCAAGGATCTCTTCGAGAAGCACGCGACTAAGCCCAACGCGTGGCGCTACTATGCCCGCTTGGATGACACCCTGGTTCTGGAGAACGGCGAGAAGGCAAATCCACTCATCATTGAGGGCGTGGCGCGTAACGACCCCAACGTTGCCGAAGCGATCGCCTTTGGGGCCAACAAGCCGCGTCTCGGATTGTTTCTTATTCCAGCAACAAGTAGCAAGTGCCAGACAGATGACCAGCTAATTGAGGCAGTATTCCCAGCCATCGAGCGCTGCAATGCGGAATTGCCCGCTTATGCCTACCTCTCCCGCGATATGATCCATGTGCTGCCCGCGGATGCGCCCTATCGCAAAACGGACAAGGGCACTGTCATTCGCGCCGCCTTTTATCGCGATTATCAGGAACAAATTGACCAGATCTACGACGCCGAGGATGCCAACGGTGACCAAGTGCTTCACGGGGGCGAGCTGGAAGCATTCCTCCGTGAGCAGCTACTAGAGGTCGCACCAGGTATTGATCCTTCTACCTTGGGTGCGACAACCGACATCTTCAGTCTAGGCGTGGATAGTCTGCAGTCAATCCGTCTGCGTACGACACTACTCCGGACTCTAGACATAGGAGGTCATAAACTCTCCCAGAACTTTGTTTTCGAGCACCCTTCGGTGCAGGCCATGGCGGACGAGTTAACACGCCTGCGGCTGGGACAGGCGCCGAAAGAGCAGCGACCAGTCGAAGAGCGGATGGCGGATCTCATTGAAAAGTATGGCAACCAATTCAAGCGTCATATTGCAGTGCCTCGCGAAGAGTCTGGTGAGCATGTCGTCGTGACAGGTGCTACTGGATCTCTGGGTGCCCATATCGTTGCCCAGTTGGCCCAGATGGATCATGTCAAGACCATTTACTGCCTGGTCCGGGCAGAGTCCCGCGAAGCAGCCTTCCGTCGTGTTCGTCAATCACTGCGTGCTCGTGGCCTGTCGTCTGTTCTGTCACCAGCTACTGAGCACAAGATTATCTCTCTTCCCGCTGACCTCGCCAGTCCAGCACGCTTAGGCTTGGACGAAAGCGTGTATAACAGATTGTTGCAGTCCATTACAGCAGTGATGCATTGCGCCTGGTCAGTCAACTTCAACTGGGCACTGGAGAGCTTCGAGTCCAGCTGCATCGCTGGTACCCGCCATCTTCTCGACCTCTGCTTGGACGTTCATGGACCTCAACCAGCACGGTTTGCCTTCTGCTCGTCGGTAAGTACCGTCGCCCGGACGCCAGGCAATTGGGTCCCGGAGGCGCTGCCAGATAGTCTAGCCTGCGCCCAGGGCATGGGATACGCGCAATCCAAGCTGGTGACAGAGCACATTGTGAACCGCGCCGCTCATGAAGCAGGAATCACCGCTCGGGTGTTGCGTGTGGGCCAGATTATCGCCGACAGCGTCCATGGGATCTGGAACGCTACTGAGGCCATTCCTATGATGTTTCAGACAGCTGAAACCATCCACGCCCTGCCGCAGCTCGATGATCTCCTCTCCTGGACGCCTGTGGATGTCGTGGCGACCAGTGTGATTGACCTGACCATGGCATCCAGGGCAGGCGAAGTGGTCAATCTGACCAACCCACTGTTGAGCCACTGGACAAGAGACTTGCTTCCTCTACTCCGACAAGCTGGGCTAGAGTTTGAGGAGCTCCCTCGACGTGAATGGCTACAGCGGTTGCGCGAGTCTAACCAGGATCCCAATGTCAACCCGCCCATCAAGCTGCTCGAATTCTTCACCAGCAAGTACGACCATGACAAGCCTAGTCGTGTGCTGCTGTACGATACCAAGCAGGCCGTAGCTGCTGCGCCTGCTCTACGCGAGGCTGGCGGACTCACCCCCGAGTTGGTCAGCCGGTTCGTCCAATACTTCCGCACTCACTGCTGGTCCACGTCTACGGGCGCAACCACCACCGCAGCACCAGCACGCGAAGTCATCTTCCTCACCGGACCATGCGGATGCGGCAAAAGCACCGCTGCGCAAGCACTGGCACAGCGATTCGAGATCCCGGTGATCGAAGGCGACAACCTGCATTCGCCGGCCGCGCGGGAGAAGATGGCTAATGGGATTCCGCTGGAGGATCGCGACCGGTGGGACTGGTTGGCGCATATCCGAGGGGCAGTGATGGATCGACTACAGCAGACCACTGCACCGGCTGTTGCTGTTACCTGCTCCGCACTGCGTACTGTCTACCGTGATGAGCTGCGACGGCTGTCTCAGCTGTTGGACTTTCCTGTTACAGTCACCTTTCTGCTCCTGTCTGTTGACGACCGGGAGACATTGAAGGAGCGTATGGTTGCACGGCTGGCTAAGGAAGATCATTATATGCGCTCAACAATGGTGGATTCCCAGCTGGATATTCTAGAGCAGCCAACGCTGTCGGAGGGCGATGTGCTTACGGTAGACGCGAGTCAGGATAAGGCACAGATGCTGCAGCAGGTGGAGGAAACTGTAAGGGGATTGTTGAAGGCGTAGATTTGATTATACTTCTATATTGACTCTAGAGTTTGGGCAACATCAGTCGGCGTATTGGTCGGTTTCATTCCAGGTTGTTTTTGGTTTTTCGTTTTTTTTTTTTTTATTGTTGTGATTTTGTACGCTTCTACACCGATCATCGCTAGAGAGTTACAGAATAAGATCCTAGCATGCACTTCAACGTTGAAATTCCTTCACACACTCGTCCATCAATCGAACCGTCTCCCCAATCCGATCAATAAATGGAGCACAGTGACTGCTGTCAATTTCCCTGACGATCCACTGTTGCTGAGTCGCAGCCATCATGCCATACTGTGCTTCTTTCGGAACGGCAGGATCGCCCGTGGTGACAATGAAAGCCAAGCTTCCTTGGAATGCTTCCTCCGCCCATGCAGGAGCCGGCTGGGGCGAGGTAAATGCCAGAGTTGCATGCGGTTTGACCTTCGCATTGAGGTCCTTGAGAAGGGCCGGATCAACATCTCCCGCAAAGTTGGCGATAGCGTCAGCGGGTACGTTAAGGTTGGCAGTGGGCTGTATTAACGTCAGTCGTTGTGTATCTTCCGTGAGAAGATGTTCTTTGGAAGAGCTCACCTTGTCCAATAGAATCCACGGGGGAAGATTCCCTCCCTGTAATCCTGCACAGCTGACTCCCTCCGGCACCAGGAAGGCCGCGATGAACACCATTCCAATCACGCCGCCACGCTTGCCTTGTTGCACTCGCTGCGACTTGGCCAAACCGAGGGCGGCAGCTGCACCAGGCATTCCAGCATACGAGTGCATCATCAGGAAGATATCTTTACCCTCCTCTTCGACCAATTTGTGCAGTGTATCCCTGATCACATCCGTGTCTGTCTTGCAGTCTGCAACAGTGGGATCGGCCGGATCAATGGATGGATAAGCCGCATAGTGAACGGGGTACCCAGCATCAGAACAGGCATCGAGGAAGGGCTGGTACAGCTGGCGGGTGATCCATGCGCCGGGGATGAAGACAAGGGTTGCCATTAGGGAACGGAATGGGATACTCTGGCAGGAGGCGAGAAGTGAACGATGGACTATGAAGGAGGGAGAAACTGGCTTTGAATGTAATTTATATATGGCACAGTTACCTAGACCTGGACCCCTGGTGATTGTCATCCGAGAAGCTTGTCACCCAGCCTTGCGATAGGCAAGAAAGTGGTTAGTGCTGACATGTCCCCAAACCTTTCCCATTCCAGCTAGGCTTACTGAACTGGACAGCTGGCGATCTCACCATCCGCCAACTTTCTTTGTTTCCTTTCAGCTAGCTGGGTTGAGACCCTGTATTTCATGAGATTGAAAGATTTTCTTATTGAGTGTTTGGCGGGTACCAGCATCTCTACTTAGTAGCGCACTGTCAGACCCATGAGTCCCGTGCATTGGTGAATTCCAACCAACGCAAATAAGACGCTGATAAGGTCCAAGGCAACCAACAATCAGATATATGGCTGCATTATCGGGCAATAGTGAAGGTATCACTGGTAGATATGGTCATGTCCTGACATCTATTTCCTGCCACGCCTTCTTACTAGTACTTGGGAAGAACGATTCTATACATATTCTGCCCCTTGGTTTTAACGCCGAGTACTGAACTAAAGCTTTTAATTGCAGTTGAGTGATAGTAACTTAGTTAATGAATACCAACTGACATCATTGTCTACGCTGATCATGTAGATCATGCTGCAGCTACCCGACCTGTCGTAACTAGACAGATCTAAAGTTGTAGACAAGCGTTGCTGCGAAAGGGTTTGGCTACTGCCGGCGACGTGTTGTGGGTTGCTGCCTCACTCAACTCACCAATGCAGTTTCAAGACAGATGCTCCAGGCGAATGCTCCACGTCCCTCGCACTACCTTGTTCAATAGGCCGATATAAAGATCAATTGCTCTTCATATGCAAAATTAATTGTATAAGTATCATTCATTGTCTCTCGTACTCTATGAGATGGTCCGTAGCCCCTCTAGGCGGTCATTATCGCAACGGTCAAGGAGTCTTCCTTATTATACACACAACACCTATCGTTCATCATAAGAATGCTGGCGCTCTATGCCTGCTGCTGTTGGCGACCAGCCGTCGAAGCCGACCACGTCTTCTGAGCCGGGTTCATCATGTTCATAGCGACTTCATGTTCGCGCTGCACCCTCTTCTGCCAGTACCGACCGAGGAAAAATGCGGCTGCACCTATCAGCGCAGCGCCAGCCACTGTTCCTACCACGATTCCTGCAATGTCGCCTCCAGACAGTCCGCTCGAGTCTCCCGAGCTGCTGCTGCTGGAGCTGCTAGCCGATGTGGTTGACGAGGACGACGACGACGACGACGACGAAGACGAGCTGCTCGTGTCGGCCTCTGAGACATTGAAGCATGGGATGTCGGTGGTGAATGAGCTATACGGTACGTAGGTAATATCAGCACATGCATAGTAGGTCTCGTTACCGTCATTGTCGAAGTCGGAGATGTATTTCAACTGAAGAGTAGCGTTGGAGCCGGAAGTGATGTTGGATGGTGGGTTGGGCACTGAATAACATTCGTGACCAGGCTCGACGTCAGGAAAGCGGCTGCCAGCCACAACAGTGGTGAAATCGGCATTCTTGGTGGGGTCTACTGTATGTTAAGGATGTTTTAAACTAGGCGAACCCGGGAAACTTACCATTGTCAAAGGAGATAGCGAGGTTAACGGAGTATGATTCATCCTGAAGGACTATAGAAACTGCACCATTTGCTGAGGAAGAAGAACGACATCAGTCAATGTGTAAAGCGAACATACCCAGACAGTTCACAACTTACTGAGAGGAAACTCGGTTCGGTTTGTAACTCCCGCCGATGAACCGCAAGGGGCTGTGGTGTCCCAGGTGGCTCCCCAAGCTCTGTCTGGTGGCCACAAGAATGCCGCAGCACCCATATCGGTGGCTTCAGCAGCATACACGCCGGAAGCCATCAGGCTAGCCGCTGCTAGCAAGCTAGTGAACATATTCTTGGAAGGCATTTTGTTCCCGAGAAGACAGGCAGGTTCCAATAAAGGGGTTTTCCAGGCACTGATGGCTTTCTCATGAGTTTGAAGATGGATCGGCGTGGTTGAAAAGAGAAATTCGAAGGATGATCCGTTCGTTGCATCCCTTATATAACAGACATCACGCCCGAAAGCTCGCTATTTCGCCGGTTCGATCACCATGCAATTGCACCAATCCATTACTGATCCGGGTCATGGAGGTAGCCATCTCCAATGGAAAAAGTCCGGGAACGCCAATGGCATGTGATGGGCATCCACTCTCTTCTGCAGCGTGTCACCATGCATTCGGTTCCAAGTTCCGCCGTTAGGCGAGCTGGTCCGACAGGGTCGGGCTTCCAATGGTGGCAATCCACTAACGGTAAGTTAGGTTATCAATCAGTAAGAACTAGCCTGGATCTGGAAAGGAAGGAATGGCACTAATCGCAAATTCCCCTCCTTTGCGGTCACGATGCATCTGAATCACCAGTGAATTGACAGTCGGAAAGGGCAGCTCCCGGCATCGGATCATATCAGATCGATAAGGGCTCCACCGCGGCCCAATTGGACTTTCCGTCAGCTTGCTCCAGGTTGGAAGAGCAAACCTCTAGGAGCCCGTTACTTCTCGCTATTTTCTCCTGACAAAACAGTTTAACTACGTCGTACGTATTCCAGCAGACCCCAAGAGTCAACGATGGATATTAGGTAAAAAGGGCACAGTGGACCGTAGGTCCCGCTCCCTGGAAAGGGTACCCGGTGGGCCCCGAGCACTGGAGGGTCCCGAATCGCGCAAATATGCCTGTCTGCATCCTGAAAGCAGAATCTGTCTAGACGCCGTTTTCTTTCCTGCCAAGACGTCGGCCTGTTCGCCATGACACATGGAATAGTGGACCGAGTTCCTCCCTTTGTATAATACCTCCGAGCACCCATGCCAGCTAACGACGGATCCTTGGCGTTCCAAAAATTCCTTCCCCGAATGGGTATCCTGGGACCGGGATGACGGAAAGCATGTGGTTTAGCTCAATTCAAGGTCATTGCCTTCGGATCAGATAAGTATTTCATCGGGGTCCACACTCATTATATTGACAAGCTTTGACCAGGGGCGTACTCGAATAATTTACACGGGCTGACCAGCTCCACCAGAAATTCCCTACCTTGACTGGCATACCGAGCCGAAGGAGATGAACGTCCGAAAATCGGACCCTCGAATGTCCTGCTTGTAGACCCTATGATGTAACCTCGCGACATACTACTAAAAGCCCTGCACCGTTCAGACAGCTGACTGGTCCATGATTCAGTGTACTCTTGCGGGATTAATCTATTAGAGTCCAGGCGAGCGCCACCCTTAGCTCCTCCTTATTGTACTGCAGACTCCGTCTGCACTGCACTCAAGGCAGTCGCCAGCCCGGGAACTCGCATGAACCCGAGAAAAATCTACTAGTCTATAGACATTTTGAAAAGGAATACCATGGGTCACAAAAGCATATGGCGGGACATGGTCCGGTGGCCTGACAACTTTCTCAAGGTTACCGGCGTCGGCGCAATAATCGAGCGAATTATGACTCGATCTACTGCCTTACAGAATAGATGTCAGTGCAGCACACGGACTCTTGGGAGCATATAACCGTGCTGATCCCACTGAGCACACTTATTCCACGTCACAAGCTCATTGGACGCGAAGCATCTCTTCTCTCTATCACGTTACCCGATACAGACACGGCTGCAGATCTAGAGATGCAGTCACTTCTTTTCGTTCTCGCTGCTGTTGCAGCTCTTGTCACTCCCGGCTTTTCATGGAGCTTTCCTGGCACTTTCCCTATAGTGAGGAGGGAATCGATCGAACCCGGCAGTCCCTTGTATGAGTGTCACGCGAATTGCGGTATGTATGATGCAGCACCGATTGATGTGTTCTTTCATGGAATGACTCGATTACCCTCATGATGACTTTGCTCCTTTACTATGACCGTCCCCAGTCCAACCGCTTCATGCAGCTAACCCGAGAAATGTCACAGGTGGCGTCATTCTTATCTCCCAAGACAGCGATGATTACTGCTCCAATTCAACCTACAAGTCCGAGCTCAGTGCTTGCCTGAAGTGTGCTTTGACATACAACATCTGGCAGTACTACGGCGACGACGTAAAGTCTGCAGCCGAGGCTTGCGGAGACAGTGCCACTCCTAGTGCCTCTTCCGCTACCGGCGCTGCAGCCACTGCGACAGCTGCCTCCAATAGTGTATGTTAATTATCAAGTGTCTGGTAGCACACCCAGATCTGACTGACGTGGCCTTCTTCTAAGTCCGCTACAAACACTGCGAACATGGCAACCATCACTTCGACAGCTACTCGAAGTAACTCTGCTTCGTCGGCAACGTCTACTTCCGGTGCTAATACTTTGCTCGGTTCCAACGCATTGGTCTTGGTGTTAGCTGCTGCGGCCGGAGTAGGGGCTTTGATGTAGAAATCCTGTTGCAGGATACAAGATTCTAGTCGTTGGGGGTGGGGGTGGGGGTGGGGGTGGGGGCTCGTTACAAAGGGGCTGGAGTCCGAGTAATGTATATGGATCACCATAGAAATCTCTCTGTGTAGTATGACATCCTGAGAATGATACCTCAAAGCAAATAGATGTACATTCCCTCGTGATGACGGTGCGATTCTCCATGGCTCAAGGTTGGTAGGAAGGGGACTATAGCTAGTAATAAGGCAATAATGAATTTATCATCAATTAGTCTTCAGATGAACTATGTGCTTCACGAGGCTCTTTATGGCCGAAAATATGTTTTGTCTCCTGATCAGTGTTACTTGATTTACATGAAGATCCACAGATGCAAATAGAGGCACGCTAGTGGTAGCAAGTGATACGCTCAACGAATGTGATGCTATCGCAAATGGCCCATGGAGGCCGGCGTTGTAGATCCTAGGTATACACATAATAAAATGACACTAAGCTAATATACATGAATCGATATTATGCTTCAATAATGCGATGCGCAGCCTTATTTGGCTGTTTAGTAAAGGGGCACCTTGTAGGCGTCGAAGGTGTAGTCCCAGGTGTCAAGAGAGGCCTGGTCGTAGACACAGTTGAACTCGGTGCCGTTCTTGGTCCAGAGAGGACGAAGGGGCCAAGAGCAAAGCTGGGCGTTTTGGCCCTCCCACTCACCCGCCAGGTGGGTGGCGTTGAGGGTGTGAGGAACGATACCCTTCTCAACCCAGTTGATCATGACAGCCAGGTTGGTCTGGGGGAAGGGGCCGTTGGCCTGGACATCATTGGTTGCGCAGTGAGAGGCACCCGGGACCAGGAACAGGCGGTACCAGTCACCCATAGCCGCGACACTGGTGTTGTAGGACATGCCCGGGTACATGATATTGCGGACGGAGTTGTAAAAGTAGACCGAAGAGCCGGTAGGAATAGACTGATCAGATTCACCGTGGAAAGTGATGATCTTACCACCCGCCTTCTCAAACTCAGTCAGATCGGGCCAGGTAGTCTGCATGACATCCTCGTAGCGCTTCCAGCCCAACTCCATCCAGTCACGGAGGGTGTCGTAGGTGACATTGTCAAGGGTAGACAGGTTGTCGGCATCGCGGAGCTCTAGGAACTTTGCAACCCACTCACCACCGGTAGAGGCAATGCTCAGTTCATACTCGCCAGTCTCGGAGTTATAAGAGGTCTCGGCGTCACTGAAGGAGGCAGTAGGCTGGTAGGAGATGTAGGCACGGCGGCCCTTGGAGTCATGCAAACCCTTCAGGATTTCAGCAGCCACTGCGACACCCTCGGCAGAGACGGTGCCGTTGATGGCGGGGTCAGTGCCACGCTTGCCAAAGCCAAGACCGATTCCGCTACTGGAGCTGGCAGCGCAATGGTAGGGAAGGCCAATGGTGGAGTTGATGTTGAATTGGAGCTGGCAGAGATCGGTACGGGCAACAACACCGTCGACCTTGCCATCGAGAGAATCGCAAGCGTCGATGGTGGCATTGACGATCTTCTCCAGTTCACATGGAGGGGGGTAGTATCCGAGGGTCTTCTCAACAACGTTAGAGTAAAGATGGTTGGCCTGCTGCTGGCCGTAGCGAATGGCAGGGGCACCAGGGATGACACCGTCATAGACGCCAGGGTACTTCTGAACCTGACTCCAGCCTTCACGACCACCCTCGGAGCAACCCTGGTAGTAGGTGTACAGCTTCTCGTCTCCCATGCTATAGAAATTTTTGGTGAACTCCTTGCCGACGATGGTCAGCTCACCGATACCGTGATATCCCATGGAGTAGAGGGCCTCGTAGTTGATCGTGCCATTGGCCAGGAGGAAAGCAGTGTCCAATTCGCCGCCAAAACCACCGTCGGTGGTACCGGCAACAGCACCATACATGACACCACCGGGAAGATAGCTAGAGCCGCCGCTGATCATGTACGCCATGCCACCTGTGGCCAGGAAGCGGTTCTCGAAGCTCTCGGGGGCGGGGAGCCAGTACTGCAATTTCACGGTGTCGCCGCGACCATTGTGGGTGTAGTTGAAGGTGACGCCGCAGTAATCGTAGGTGGCATCGGGGAAGAAAACCTGGCCGCTGGTAGAGGCGTTGTAGACAGGGGAGGCGGTTACAGAGGAGGGAATCATGGTGAGCCCGTACACAGAGCTGGGCAGGGCAGCCTTGACGTTGGCAGTGGTACAGACATCAGCCAGAGAAGCTGCATGGGCAGCAGTGGCGGTCAAACCCGCCATCATCGCACCACGACGCATGATGGGCTTGCGACAAATGAGAGATGGAATTATGGTGTAAACGATGTCCAGGCCGATATATAATTAAGTAACCTCGTTAAAGCGGGTAGGAGGAAGAGTGGATGAACGAGTGATGTCTTCTGGGCAATAGATGTGGTCGGAGGGAGCCCTGGTCTTATATAACCAGCATCTAACCATGACAAGCTCTCTTTTGGTCTGCCGTGTAAAAGAGATCATCATTGTGGCGGAACAAGGCGAGAAGCTGGTCAGGAGACGCTCCCAGTGGATGCCGTTGACTATGGAATTCAAACGCCTCCCTCTCCCTGCCCCGAGTAGTGGTTGAGCCAAGAACGCGTGTCCTACGGGCCACAGAACAAATTAAGATGGTAGCCTAATAGATAGTGCCTACAATATAGACAGATCGGTTGAAAGCTCCGATTTGGAACAGGCTAGAACGCATCTTGGCAGATTCGTCACACCTGGAAGCTGGGTGGGCCCAGGGCGCCATTATCTGCAGATGCATCTGGAATGATGCTCGGAGCATTCCGAAAACGAGTTGATGATGCCTTGTAGCTTATTTTCACATTGATGCCGTCATTACACCCGTTCAAACGTCCCATAGAGAATTTAAGAGATTCTACGTTGTGGATCGAAGCCTTTATCTCGGGTAGATTTCCCCAGCGTTAGCAGTTTCTTATTCCCGACCAATGTAGGTGTACCTGCACTTGGGCCAGGCGAAGGCCATGTAGGAAGATGAAGCATCCTAGTCATATGACAGAGCAGCAGACCTGCGGCCGAGACATTGATAGTGAAGTATTGATGCTTCTTCTTGAGCAGGTTCTGAGATGCGGTCAATTTTTGCAGCGGCCGATATTGGGCAGGGTCTTACGGCTAGTCGCGGCATTGAGCTTAAAACCTAAAAGGTAAAAGGTTTATGTAAAGTAGGTCTACTGCAGGGTCTTCTCGGCTCCCTTTCCACGAGCATGATTCACTAGGCCTTCTCATTCACAAAGCGCAGCTTCCTTTGCACAAGGAACGTCTTCATTGTTTTTTTACATACTCCGTCATGGCATTGCTTTGTTACTCATGACGGCAGTCGGAGATCAGACACTATTTTTCAGGGTCTGAATTAGGCAGGGTTTGTTGTCGCCCCGTGCCATTAAAAACTTTATCCGCCCTGTACGTAAAAGCCTGTCGATTATGAAATCATTCATCACGCTTCCTTATATCTCGGGATAGTGAGAAGATCATTCTACCTTCTTTGGCCGCGTCATGTATCGTGCATACAAAATTTCTGTTCACGTCTAGGCACCAGCTTATGAGCCTCAGAGGCAGACATCGCTCCTGGCTAATGGGTCGGCTCTCGAATGAGCTGGATTATGCTTGATTGAAGAGTGGGACTTCTTTGTCGGCGAATATTCGGGGATTTATTCGTCAAAATTGGTCTTCATCAGTTTTTCGGTACGAAATCTTACGTGGCAACCCCGTATCTTGGTGGGACCCGGGGTAAGTTTTTATGCGGACCAGGAGAGAAGGCTAAACGGGTATAGAAAACTTTATCGTAAAATCCATCTTTGCAGAGCAATATAGAGGTGGTGATATCTATAGGACGTAGTAATCTGCCCCACTGGTCAACTAATGCAGGTACGCAATGCTTGAAGATCGCCCTAGACGTTACGGCACAAATTTAGTAGTCAATACACAGGTCTCGATCATTTACCCTAGCACTCTGAATTGTGGCTTTGCTGGTTTAAACCTTGGTTGGTATCTAACGCATGGGTATGTTTTAGTTGCTACGTGGGTAGAAGGATATCGAATGAACTAATTTTAGAGGCACTCCGGTCTTTGAAGAATCACGGAGTGTAGCAGAGCATCTTAGCAGGGGTCATTGTGCCGATATACATATCCGAGAATATTTCATGGCAGTTCAGGTGACCTGTGACAAATAAAAGCCTACTTGGTACACCCAAAATGCCCATATGCTCGCAGTTCCCACCTGAATGCCGGCTCTCTATCGCAAAATCATACTTCTTCTGCGTGCTGGGTAGAGACTTCCAATCTTAGTTAAACTTCTGTAGTAAACGTCTCTGCCCCGCTGCCAAAGTATTATCCCTTTTCTCCATGTGGGTTGGTTAGCTACAGTCTAGCTGTATATTACCAGCGCTTAACATAATCCGTGAGGAACCCCTGATTTGGAGCGGTTACCCTGGTCCCATCATACATCTTTTCTTCCACGGAGTCACATATCATGTTCAATCAGTATCCGTGAATCAAGTGTACGTCAGCGTAGCAATTCCCTCATGGGGTTGACGGCAGGAGAGATATTGATGGGTTCAGACAGCAGGATTTCTACTAACAAAAAGAACTCAACAGAACGCAGTGGGACTCCATGAAAGAGGGCCCTGTATTTCTTCGCAGTGATAAGGTCTTCATGGCTCCATTTGGCGTTAACTTTGACGATCACGTTGTAAGGGGTCAATAGGCAGGCAATAGGCATACCTGGTAAACAGGATAATATAGCTGTGGGCTCAGAGATGAAGTTGATATCTGATTGAATACCAGTGCGATGCGAACTTCTCTAGCAAGGCGGGGTGGTCCACCAGAGCGGACTCCAGGCCGCACGATGGGGTGGAATTTTACGTCAGACAAGCCACTGATATGGAACCAATGGAATATCTCTGGTGATGATAATCCTCAAGCTGGAGCTTGTTGAGCCTGCACACTAGGCGGCCATTACAAGAAATTTTCTGACTGGGAGAAACATTCTAGTTGAAACGCATGGTTATCACGCCGGTCCCCGACGCAATCCGCCCACACGGCAGATTACGGCCATCCTTTCACCCGTGGAAGGGGCTAGTACTATGTTCAGCCCTTCAAGATATGATGAGGCAGTCTTCCACTTCTTTCTTCAGCTACTTTCTTCATTTCATTTTCTTCTACCGCTTAGTATCACTTTCTACCCTCCCTTTCAAATGGATATGCCGGTCTACAAACTTCCATCCACCCCTTCAGAGACCTTTACTCATTACAATGATTTGATTTTATTGATTATAGACATGTAGCGCTGTTTGATATGTAGTGGACGGCGCGTTGGTATACCCAGCTTTGTTACGAATAATA